ACACACACACACACACAGACACATATTTGTTTTCGTAGATTTTCACGGGTACGGGTATGTAGGTCTAGGTGTTTTTGGGTCTTTTCCCGTGTAAGATTACATGGGAAAAGACCCGAACACACCTAGACCTAGATAGATAGATAGATAGATAGATAGATAGATAGATAGATAGATAGATAGATAGATAGATAGATAGATTTGTAGATTTTCATGGGTACAGGTATGCAGGTCTTGGCGTGTTCGGGTCTTTTCCCGTGTAAGATTGAGAGCATCTTGGCAACATTTCTATGAGGTCCCACTCGCCATCTTCAGGCTGGTTCTTTCGGCTTCATACTTGCGTGAGCAAAGTGTGATCAGAGCTGCCATCTCCCTATATATACTGGTGGGGAGGTTGGCTGTGTTGTCATATCTTGATTGGTTGATGGAGTTGATGTTTGCAGATTGGCTGGCTTTTTCTTAAGGACATGTGTGGCTGAGGTATTGGCTGTGTGTCTATCAGCTTCCTGTGTTGTAACGACCTGGATAATGGGCTGTGTGATGACCTTCTGAGTTCTATTGTTTTGACATCCTGGGTCTTGTGATGTAATCTCCTGGGTCATTCTCCACAAACACAATATCAGGACAGCCTTCGGCACTGACCAAAAAATAGCCAACATCCTAAGAAACCCCAAAGACAAGATCCAGCTAGAAAACCAAGGAGTTTATGAAATATCATGCAACAATTGCCCAGCCACATACATTGGACAAACCAACAGGAGAATAAATGAACGCATCGCAGAACACAAGAACACAGTCAAAAAAGAAGAAAATACTTTCTCCCTTTTTCAGCACCTTAAAGCCACAGGACATGAAATTAATTTTGAGGGAACCAAATTAATCTCCAATACTGAACACTTCAACAAGAGGGAAGCCATCGAAATAGAGAAACACCCCCATAACATGAATAAACGGGGTGATGTCTCCCACCTACCAGACATCTGGAAACTAGCCCTTATCAACAAACGAGTACCAGCCATGAAAACGAACACCGGACCCAAACCACACATGACACCACCACCATTCTCCCTCACCAGACTCAAACCCAAACCCATCCCATAGATGAAAGGCAACCACCGTCCAGAAACCAGACCACGGCTGCATCACCAGCTGCCAAACCCCAAACCAAGCAAACGGACACACATCATGAACACATATCCAGACCTCAAACTCGGAGCCAAACCAAAACCCGTAACGTCACATCACAGCCACCCGCTCAGGATATCACATCACAGAACTCAGGAGGTTACACCACAAAACCTCAGGATGTCGCAACACAGCCAACAACCCAGGAGAATACAGCACAAGACCCAGGATGCCACAACAATAGAACTCAGAAGGTCATCACACAGCCCATTACCCAGGTCGTTACAACACAGGAGGCTGGCTCACAGATGAACACAATACAGAAGCCTGATGATGGCAGATGACATTCTGCTGAAACATCGCTATAACTTTAAAAACACAACTATAATGACATGGGAAAATACCCAAACAAAGCTGAATACCATACATATAGATACCCGTGAAAACTTAAGAAAATATATATAAGGCAATAAATTACAGAATATCATGGCCATGAGTGAGTGAGGTTACCATGACAGCAAAGACATTTTAAGCTCTAGAAAGGACATCAAATAAGATATGCCTGTCCTCTTTCATGTATTTAATCAAAAAGCTGTAAGAAATATTAAACAGTATACGTACCTTAAAGGAACTATGCACTAATGTTTCATCAAGATCAATGACCACACATTTCTTCCCATAATCAGATATTGTCATTTCTGGCAAGAGGTATTTAGCTGATGGCTAAACAGAGAGGAAAAAAAGAGCACCTTCAAAATGTTAGAAATGTTCATGATAAACCTAATGATCGGGGAAAACTAATATAGTCATAATTAAATTATTTGTGCCTTGTTAGACAAATACCTGGACCCATATTTCTTTTGCATGGATTATAAAGGATTTCAATGATACAGGTAGTCCTCGATTTACAACAGTTCATTTAGTGACTGTTAGAAATTACAACAGCACTGAAAAAAGTGACTTACCGTCATTTTTCATACTTATGACCATTGCAACATCCCCATGGTCACCTGACCAAAATTCAGATGCTTGGCACCTGACTTGTATTTGTGATGGTTACAGTGTCCTGGGTCTGACAATGTGGAAGCCAGATTCACTTAACAACCGTGTGATTCACTTAACAACAGAAAAGTCGTAAAATGGGGCAAAATTCACTTAATTAACTTGCTCAGAAATCTGAAGTACAGTTCTGGCCGTAAGTCAAGGACTACCTGTATTACCCCAATTCAGCATTTCTGTCTAATATGAAAGATACCTGGGATAAATAAAGGAAGAGGTCTGAAATGGAAGAGCAAAATCTTTCTGAGATAGTCTCAAGAAAAGGCATTTTTTTTAAAAAATCTAGCAGACTTGTATTCTAAATGATTAAAATACTAAGACTGAAGTCATGACGGGTTTCACCCAGAGGTGGGATTCAGCAGGTTCTGAACAGTTCCGGAAAACCAGTAGCGGAAATTTAGATTAGTTCAGAGAACCAGCAAATCCCACCTCTGGCTGGAGATTTTACAGTATTCTTCCCCTGCCACGCCCACCAAGCCACACCCACAGAACCGATAGTAAAAAAAAAAAATGGAATCCCACCACTGGTTTTCACACACACACACCCCACACAATTTGACTGAATTGGCAATCCCCAGAGGGGAGGGAGGGGGTTCATTTGAGAGAGCATTATCAACAATTGACAAAATGGCTTCTGTGTAGTTATGGCCAATCACAAAGCAATAATTTTACAGGCAGGGATCCAAGCAGGTTTAGAGACCAGCAGCTCGATTAATAAATTCCGTGCAAAGCAAATGTGAGGCTTGAACCAAGACACTTGTCGTAGATTTTCCTCCATGTGAGATCTAGTTAACGAAGTACAGACTGACAAATTGGTCAGGAAACACAGAAACGTAGCCCGCCACTCGCATACAGGTAGCCCTCAATTTAGGAGCACAACTGAGCACCAAAATTTATGCTATTAAATGGGAAATCTGGTAAGGTCAATTTGGCCCCATTTGTTAAGTGAATCACTGCAGTTGTTAAGTAAGTGACACGGTTGTTAAATGAATCCGGCTTCCGTGTTGACTTCGTTTGTCAGAAGGTCTCAAAAGGAGTCACGTGACACCCCCCCCGGACACTGCAACCGTCATAGATGTGAGTCAGTTGTCAAGCATCTGAATATAAGTCACATGACCATAGGAATGCTGCAACGGTCGTGAAAAAAAATATATATTTTAGTGCTTTTAGTACTTTAGTCCTTTTTTTTTGGTAACTCCGAAAGTCACTAAACGAACTGTTCTAGGTTGGGGACCACCTGCATAGTCTGCTCAACATACTGCATGACAAAGAAAACAAAAACAAACAAATAAATAAAAGAACAAAACACACAGAATATAAAACGAAACAAGAATTTTACTTTAGTAAGTTATGTCCTGGCCCTTTCCCTATTTTAAGACGGGACTGGGAAAACCCACAATTCTTGCTTTTTAAAGGATCCTTTTAGCTTCAAATGAAGCAATCTTTATCAACCCAGATGGCTCTGGACATTAAGCCCACCAGATCCCCAGAAAGAAAATATTTGAAGTGGGGAGGAGGGACCATCAAGAGAGATATTCTGGATCAAACTATGTCCACGCTTGGAACTCCCTTAAATTGAAATCATGTAGGTTGGTAATATTAGCCATAGAATGGGGGTGGAGGAGAAAAAAACCCTTTAAGGAACTCTTTAAGTATCATCTGAGTTTTAAGAATTGAACACCTTGTATCTGGGAAAAGCATCACCTGTGGGGACTATAACATACAGAATCTCATCAAATTATTAATTTCTTTAAAAAATGGCCACGTCTGATTTTGACAAGGACTATAGGTTGTGACTGTATTATTTTATTTTTCACATAAAGACTAGGGAGTAGTCCTTGACTTATGGCTGGTTCTGATTGACCTACGTTAGGGGTTATTTATGACTTGGATTCAGAGTTGGACAGTTGCCCCCAGGGTCATGTGACATTAGGGCTGCTTGCGGCATCCTGCAATCACATAACATGTGTTATGACAGTTTTGTTAAAACTGTAATAAATGCATAAATGCATTTATTTCTGCTTTTCAGAAAAACTTCACCCATAGAAAACCACTGATTCATTTAGAACCATGGATTTGCCTAACCACCGCAAAAAAGGTTGTAAAACTGTAACCTAACCTGTTTTTACAACAATGACTATGATGGCCAGGCTCTATTATGGTCACAATTTGAGGATTACCTGTAATTACAGTATCTATAAGATCTATTAATATAGTCCTAGGCTGCATAAACAAAGGGATAGAATCAAGATCCCGTGAAGTGTTAATACCACTTTATAACGTCTTAGTAAGACCACACTTGGAATATTGCATCCAGTTTTGGTCACCACAGTATAAAAAAGATGTTGAGACTCTGAAAAGAGTGCAGAGAAGAGCAATGAAGAGGATTAGGGGACTGCAGGCTAAAACATCTGAAGAATAAAATGTGTAGAATGTATAGAATGTGAAGGATGTGTGTTTGTGTTTACTTTCATAGTCATAATGTACACTGAAGATGGTATTTAATTTTGTTGTACATGGTTCAATGACAATAAAGTAAACTAAACTAAACCGAATGATTATACGAATGATTATATTCGGTAAGTCTAGTTTGATGAAAAGAAGGATTAAGGGTGACATGACAGCAGTGTTCTAATATCTCAGGGGTTGCCCCAAAGAAGAGGGGGTCAAATTATTCTCCAAGGCACCTGAGGGCAGGACAAGAAGCAATGGGTGGAAACTAACCAAGGAGAGAAGCAACCTGGAATTAAGGAGAAACTTCCTAACAGGAAGGACAATTAAGCAGTGGAACAGCTGGCCACTAGAAATTGTGGGTGCTGCAACACTGGAGGTTTTTAACAAGAAATTGGACAACCACTTGTCATAGGGCTTCCTGCCTAAGCAGGGGGTTGGACTAGAAGACCTCCAAGGTCTTTTCCAACTCTGTTATTTGTAGTCTTGGGCAACAGACTAGCAATAAACTAGTACTGCAGACTTCTCTGAGCAATGTTTTTATTCCTGTTTTTGCATCTCATCGGTCAGTCCCTAAAATTGCTGAGTATAACAGACTTCTTTATCCTGTAAAGACCCTTTGACTTTTAAAGAGAGGAACCCACAAATAAGATCAGTTGATGAAATGAGAAGTATAAACAGAGGCACGGAAACAAAATCACATGAAGTATTAGTACTGCTTTATAAATTCCTCGTAAGACTGCACCTGGAATACTGCATCCAGTTTTGCTCACCACACTGCAAAAAAGATGTTGAGACTTTGGAAAAAATGCAGAGAAGAGCAACTAAGATGACTGAAGTCCTGGAGACAAAAACATATAAAGAGCAGCTGTAGGATTTGGGTCTGGCTACTCTAGAGAAAAGAAGGAAGGGGTGACATGTATTTGAGGGGTTGCCACAAAGAGGCAGGGGTCAACTTATTTTCCAAAGCACCTGAAGGCAGGACAAGAAGCAACCGATTGAAACTAATCAAGGAGAAAAGCAACCTGGAATTAAGAACAATTAATCAGTGGAACGATTGCATGCAGAAGTTGTGGGTGCTCCATCACTGGAGGTCTTTAAGAAGACTGAACAGCCACTTGTCTCAAATGGTATAAAGATTCGTGGCTTGAGCAGGGTTGGACTAGAAGACCTCCAAGGTGCCTTCCAGTTCTATTCTGATTGACTGTTCTACTGATCACTTTCCTAACCTTCCCATGGCTTTCTCATGATTCTTGCCCTTTTTTCTCTGGAGTGACTGTTTTTGTGCTGGGAATGAAATCCATGAAAACATAAATTGCTGCATTAGACATCACGGAATTTAAAGCATATCACACAGAGAGCTAGCTTATGATGTAATGTTTAGGAGCCTGGGTTGATCCTGGTATGATCCAAATTCTAATCCATTCTAACCCCAGAAGCTCCTGTGTGATTAGGGGCCACCCACCCACCCACTCTCTCTCTCTCTCTCTCTCAGCCTAACCTACTTTGCAAGGTTGCGGTGGTGAAGGGGAAAAAACGATTCTTTTTAAATGCCACCTTGAACTCCTGAGGCAAATCTGAATAAGTATCCCTTTAATAAGCATAGATGCGGACTGCATATTATACTTATGTACAGGTAGTCCTCCACTTATGACCACAGTCGAGCCCCAAATTTCTGTTGTTAAGTGAGACATTTGTTAAGTGAGTTTTGCCCCATTTTACGACCTTTCTTGCCACAGTTATGTGAACCAGTGAAGTTGTTCAATTAGTAAGACGGTGGTTAAGTGAACTTGGTTTCCCTGTTTGCTTGTTAGTAGATCGCAAAAGGGGATCACGTGATCCCAGATACTGCAACTGTCATAAATGTGAATCAGTTGCCAAGCGTCTGAATTTTGATCACATGATCTTGGGGAAGCTATGAAGGTGGTAACTGTGAAAAATGGTCATATTTTTCAGTCCCTCTGTAACATTGAACAGTCACTAAATGAACTGTTATATCTGTAGTAATGTTAACCCCCATCTCCCTCTCTGTGACATTCAAAAGTTGGATGATGCAGGGAGCTATAGAGTGTTTGATACAATACTTTTTATTTCTGCAAACAGTGCGTGCGTGTGTGTATGTATGTATGTATGTATGTATATGTACACACACACACACACACACTAAGTACACATGCTGCTCAATTCCCTGGGACTCTGAGTGGTTTACAATTGTTTTAAACATTTAAATACAAAGAACAATACGAATACCATAAAAACAGCACGAGACTTAACAACTACAATGGCAAAAATAAATAAAAATAAAGGTGGTTTCAGACCCGTTGTTTGTGTTATGTGAGACGTATTTGATCACCCTGATGGAGGGGGAGAGGAGGAGCTGTGTGGAAAGCCACATTAACTGACCTCACTTTGAATGGGGCTAAAAGTAATGATGCCCAGTTAAGCATGTCTTATAAATGTGGTGGCATCAACCGTTCTTCCAACATCGAGGTTACAACCACCAATAAGGCCCCTCTAGGATTTTTATTGTTATTATCATTCCACTATTTCTCTACCCCCACTTCCCACCCCAACTGGTAGTTCAGACTGGGGAATTCTGGGAGTTGAAGTCCACACATCTTAAAGTGGCCAAGGTTGAGAAACACTGACACAGAGGATTAAAAACGTCAGGAATGAGTGGAAGTGAAAACCTTTACTTTTTAAACATGCTCCACTGATTACAAGGGGAAAAGAAAGTAAGTAAATTTTGCTATTTCACTTTCTTTTTGGGTGTGTGTGTGTGTATGTATGTGTTGAGCAGATGATAAAAATGGTTGTTTCACAAAAACCTACCATGCACCCAAGTATTGCTAGCTCGAGACAGTGAATCAAGAAATAGTGGAATTTATGCTTTCTGTGGGTTGTGGTTACTAAGATATGGTTTTGTGATGTGCCCAGCTATAGTTTCACATTTGTAAGATCTTGTCAGCATGCAATACACACACAAATATAGACTATCTGAGCCCAAATCAAGAACATTAAAAGAAACTGAACATAAAAAGAATAAAAAAATACATACACTTGGAATGGGAATGACCTGCATCTGGTCACCCTGAGGGGAAAATGGGGAAAAAATCGTTGTAAAGAGTGTAATATTTCAAAACAGTAGAACATAAAATAAACCGACGTGTCAGATTTAATGAATAAACGTGTTCCAACTAAAACTCAAAAAAGAATTTAAGAAATTGGTTAAATTAAGAGAAGTAAATATTGTGTCAACAGAAATTATCAAGGAGCTGCAAAGGAACTGTTAATAGAATTTTTGATATTTTCAACAGATGTTGCAAAAAAGAAGTGTAAGCCTTTTTTTTCCAGCCTTAATGTGGTGATACTGCCTTGCTGGACTGTTTTGCTCAGCTACTTATATAGCATTATATCAGTACCAGAACAAAATTTATCTATAAATTATTATTGTAATAAGCAATGAAATTTTAACCTTTCCTTAGGTTCAATAACTAAGCTTAAATTTTTCTTTTATTTATTTATTTATCAAATTTACTGGCCGCCCATCTTATCATAGAGTAACTTGAATCCAGTTGTAGTCATCCTTAAGAGAACATCCACTTTAGCCAATCCTTGTATTTCAAATCAACAGATTTTACTTGTATGATTTAATACATTTATACAATGATATATTATTGAATTCAGGGACAACCGGATTACCGATTTCAAAGTGATGACTGCTTATTTTAATAGCCAGATACAGATAGGGTAAAAACATAGTCATTATCTTTATGTACCTCTGAATCAATTTTCCTCAGGGTAGTTTACAATGGAAATAAAACCAAGAATACAATAAAATCAATTTCAACTTAAAATTAATAAAACAACCAATCTCAGCAGGACAATAAAATAATAACCTTAATATATATGGCAGCAAATTATAACATAACTCAAAGTCCTTCAGAGAGATTCTCTTAGCCACCTTCTGGAAGGAGGCTAGCAGAGGTAGCAACTAGGTTTCTGGGAGCATGCTGTTCCACAGGATGAGAGAGATATGGGTCATTTTGGGGAGAGGCACTGTTATCTTCAATGGAGAACACTAAACATCTTCATTTGAGATAAGGGTCAGTTCTACTTGGGAGAAAGCAATCCAGAAGGTACCTAGGAGTACCTAGGGCTTTAAAAGTTAAACCCAGCATTTTAAATTATACATGGAAATCTACTGGAAGTTAATACAGCACCCACAATACAAGTGTAATAAAGCTGGAAGAGCTCTTATCCACTAGCATGTGGGAAGCTGTGTTTTGCACCAACTGCAATTTCTACATAGTTTTCAAGAGCAGCCCCTGTGCTACAGTAAACCTAGTAGTGAGGAAGGAATGAGTTAGGACTTCCGGTAGCAGACTTCCGGTCATACCCAAAGATGCTTTTTCAAAAGGCAGCAAGACTTCTGCTTTTCCTTGAAGATATTTCACTTCTCATCCAAGGAGCTTCTTCAGTTCTGACTGAATGGTGGAGGATGAAAGGATTTATATTCCTTGTAGTTATCTGGTCATTAGTACTCTTTATGAGAGTCGCTGAGGCCACTTTCATCCTCCACCATTTAGTCAGAGCTGGATGAGAAGCGAAATGTCTTCAAGGAAAAAAAAAGAAAGTCCAATTCAGTGGTGGTATTTTACCGGTTCAGCCCAGTTCTGCCAAGCCAGTAGCAGCAATGAGCAGCAGAGACCGGACCAGTTCTCTCCATTGTGCTGCTGTTGGACCCACCTAGGCTCCCATACTCACCTTTATCCCCTGCTTTTGAAGCGTAGCTGCTTTGCGCGGCACAGGATAGTGCTGCGCGGCAGCTGCTGAAGCGACCGGGAGAGTGCAGGCTTGCAGGAGGCGAGTTAGAATGCCTCTGCACCTGCTCAAACGTCTCTGCACCTGCGTAAAGTGCGCTTTTGGCACACACATGCATGCAAAGTGTGTACACGCGCAAAGTGCACCCATCAAGCCACACCCACCGAACCAGTGGTAAAATGTTTTGAATCCCACCACTGAGTTGCCTCTTGAAAAAAGTACATTTGGGACAACCATGACCTGGATAACTGAGAATCTCCATAGACATAGAGCTAGCATACATGCTCTAGCAGTGACATCTATGGCAAATACCGTATAGCTGTCAATCCCAAATAAATTCTCAAGCTGTGGATTTGATCCTTCAGAGAAATTGCTATTTTAACCAAAGTCAGAACGGGAGTAGCCAGAAAACCAAATGAACAGATTATTTCTCTCGGAGGTCTCAAGGAAGTAATAAAAAACTAGGAACGATGGAACTATATTACCGTACAAAGGGGCATCCACAGGGCAGGTCTTCTACCCACCACCACCCCTGGTCTCCAGTGGAACCACTGCAAAAATGCATCTTTAGAATTGAGAAAGATACCATGATGGTATCAAACACCAAAAGGAGACGAAGCGGCAACATAGAGAGCTTATAATTTCGTTCAGATCCTGGCAAAGGTCATCCAACAGAGTGGCCAGTGGCATTTTCATTCTATACCAAGCTTAAAACTCAACTTAAAAGTGTCTTCTGCTTCCCCCAGAGAATCATCACTCGAGTTCCACCATCTTGTCAACAATAAAGAGAAGGTCTGGGATGGGGTGCTGTCTTACATAACTAGATCAAGGAAACATGTTTTCAGAAAAGGATACACTACCAACTCTTTCAGGAAGGCCTTGACTGTTTTTCAGATCTAGTTCTTTAAGGCCATCAAGAGAAAATGAATTAGTCTTGTTCTCAATGATTCTCAATAGGGACTGAGAGATGTTTGATATGAACGGAGTGGCAATTTATAACTGCAGGTTTACCCATATCAGGTTCTACCTTCCCCCCGCAAAACTCATGCTATCAAAAAAAGGAGGAGAAACCTTACCTTTTGAAGCCCGCCATTTTCTTCCACCAAGGGAGGAAGGACACTGGTGCCATTAGGTGATGGAGACTCAACATTGTAGTCGCGAAAGCAGCAGAATAAAGTGCTAAAGATGCTTCTGCTTCTCTGCTTTTTCAAACTGAGATTACATTGGGACACTGTAAATAAACAAAATAATTGCGTCGTAAATGGACTTTGATGCCTGCTGTTTCACACAGGTCGTAGTTAATTCTAATGTTACAGCATTGACTTAAAAAAAAAAAACCTCCATTATTTCTAGCGAATTACTATACAAGTAGTCCTCACCTTATGACTGGTTGCTTAATGACCGTTCAAAGTTCTAATGGACCCCCCAAAAGTACTTATGATTCAATTTCCAAGTTCCAACATGGTTTTACTCCCTCACAGTAACCTGACCACATTTTGGGTGTTCAACAACAGGTCCATCTTTATGGCTGTGTCTTAAGGTCATGTGATTGTGATTCATAATTTTGCCAAAAACCAGCATTAGATTCTCTTAATGATCATTGCATTCACTTAACAACATCTACAAAAAAGGTAACAAAAATCTGGTCATGTGGGTGACCTGCTTTACGACTATCTACGGTCATGACTTATGACCATAATAAGCAGGCTCCATTACAGTTATAAGTGGAGGATTTTCCTGTGTTTTAGTCTGAAAACAGATCTTCTGTAAATTTGATGTTTCCATTTATAAGCAAGTAAATTAATTATAGCTTATGATGTTGAATGTATTTCCAGAAAACATGCAGTGTCTGAATGAAATGGTATGCCAGACAATTACATGTAATGGAATTTGTTAAGCCATATTGTTTTTATTGCAGCAAATAACTGCACACATATCACATCCATATTTTACCCTAAGGTATAAAGTCCTTAGTAAGGCTTAGTAAGGCTATGTCCTCAGAAATAAGAACCATCTGCTCCAACAGAAAACGATACAACAATGTTTTATTTAAATCCATTTGGACAAGACCTTTGAGAAAGTACTAGTATAAACATGAAAGATAGCTGTTAAAAAGAAAAACAAAAACCAATTTGCTAACAAACAATTTTAAGGTTCATCAGAAATGTGTGATCAAAAGGTCTTTTCAGGACAATGGAAAACAACTAATATATTGCAGTAAGAATCTAAATAATATCTGTACCAATAATTACTCTGTAATCCAAAAGAGAGCATTATGACCTGAGTTTCTTCTAACACATGCATTCACTGCTTCAGTTTCCTGTGGAAAATGACATTTCTAATAGAATTTGAAAAGCATATATGAAGGAGGCATATGCACCGCCACTTGGAGACCGCTTAAATATGAGCCAGAAATGTGTGGCAGCAGCCAAAAAAGCTAATACAGTTCTTGCTTGTGTAAACAGAGGCATAGAATCAAAATCACGTTAAGTATTAGTACCATTTTATAAAGCCTTAGTAAGACCACATCTGGAATACGGCAACCAGTTTTTGTCATTGTTGGATACAGCCGGAATGAAAACTCAAGAGCCAGGGATCCACAACTCAGGTTTATCAGGTACGTACAACTACAACTCAACAATGGTAACGGCTGACAGGCAGCCCTTATATAGCGGTTGCCTGCCATGCTATTACCCAATCAATTCGATTTGTATTTCCCATGCTAGTCGCGGTGGGCTATTATGTATCTGCACCTGCTCAGACACAAGTCATCGCACTACAAAAAAGATGTCAAGACTTTGGAAAAAGTGCAAAGAAGAGCAAGTAAAATGATTAAGGGCCTGGAGACCAAAACCTATGAAGAATGGTTGCAGGAACTGGATATGACCAGTCCAGAGAAAAGAAGGAAGGGGTCACATGATAGCTGTCTTCCAGTATTTGAGCGGCTGCCACAAAGAAGAAGGGGTTCATCTATTCTCCAAAGCACCTAAAGGCACGGCTAGAAGCAACAGATGGAAACTAATAAAGGTGAAAAGCAATCTGGAATGAAGGAGAAACTTAAAAGTGAAAAAAATCAACTGGCTTTCCTTCAGAAATTGTGGGTGCTTCATTACTGGAGGTTTTTAAGAAGAGACTGGGTAGCCATCTGTCTGAAACGATATAGGGTCTCGATGGCCACGTTTTGAATTCAACTACCGCCCCATTTGCAGCTTGGCAGCTGACTTCCCAATTCAGAGCATGTAAGGAGAATCCCGCAGGACTGGAAGTTAGGCCAGGGGTGGGATTCAACCAGTGTTACTATCTGTTCGGTGATTACGTTTTGCGTAAAAAAATATCATGCGGAATCTTGCTTAAGATATGTATATGCACACGTGACATATAGTAGTTGGGGGATTATTGTTATTAAACTAGAATGTGATCATTATATAGTGATTATATTATAAATTTTGATTATGGATTAAAGGGGAATAATTGAGGGATGTATAAAAGGATGGCACACTCTAATTAGTAATTAAAGGGGAAAAATTTTGGAATTAATAGATTTAAGTTGAAATTTATTGAATGAAACAAAAGTATGTGATAAAATTGCAAATATAACAGATAAAAGTATAAAGGAATAATGAATTTAGAATAAAAATAAGAATGGTTGACTATAAAATATGAGTATATTTAAAGAAAAGGGAGTTAAGATATAAATTGAAAATGGATTTAATAAGTGTAAAAAAAAAAAAAAAGAATACTGGAGAAAATTTATTGTAAAATGGAAGTAATGATATGATATAGAATTGAATGTGAAAGATAAAAGGTCATGTTTGTATTGGAAGTGTAAAAACCTGGAACCATGTTGTTCATGGAAAGAGATGTTTTTAAAATGTAAAAAGAATAAAAAAATTTATAAAAAAGAAATGAAAGCCTGCCTGCATTTCCTTACACTGTATGAATATAAGATCAAATACATTATTCGGAGGGGGAGGCTTCCTGCTGCCATTTGTGTGAATTTAACCTTTATTTTTTTACTCTTAAAATTGAATCTCTGAATAATCCTAGATCTACAACATTGCTTAGCCTCAACTTGGCATTTCATTGCAATTTCAATATTGTGTGATGTAGGTTTTTATGTCTGGCGGAGCAATGCTGCTCTCCAAAAATACTATTTTAAGTGTTTTTAAATTTGAGAATACTGAATTATCATTGTCTTGTACACAGTTTATTTTCCTTTCCGCCTTCTGAACTCTAGAATTTTAACTCTCTTGGCTTCTTCAGAAGTGTTTAAATTGCAAACTTCCATTAAGAGGCTGAAGAAATAAAAATAAAAGGTTTCGGCCTATATTTCAATTCAAAATGAAGAAGCAGTAAGTTGCAAAAGAGGCCTGATAATTAAAAGATCTGGAGACAAAATTAAGTTCTTTTTGTTCACCTTTGTCTTTTATACACCACCACCTGGACAGCTTTTCTAATAAAGTAAGGCATTAACTACAAATAGTTTGAAGTTAAAACTTGCAACGAAGTTGGGCTTATGTAGTTTGTTCTGCTTCAAAAGAACTTCATGTTGTATTGCAATAAAAGAATAGAGTTCACAGTAAAACAATATCTTGGAGTCCAAGCTATTGAACTGTGATTGTAAAATAAGGATTGTTTCCCTTTGCTTCAATAGGATAAGAATAATGCAGATTTCGGCAAGTCTTGGACTGAATAATTCCTAAGAAAAATCGAAGCATTCATGTGAACATTGCATTAAATTCCCTGTCAGGACTTTTGTTATCATTAAACAGAAGTGTTAAGTATTTTTTTTCTCTAGTTAAATATTTAAGATCCCCTCAGAATGTCAGCCAAGGGTTTGTCTTTCACCTAAAAACACCAATTGTTGTTGGCTTTACTCGTACTTAAATTAGGATTGTGATTTAAAGTAATTCATTATCTTTTATTCTACGAATTGCCAACTTCAGGGAATCCTCAAGTTACCACTATTCATTAAGTGACCATTTGAAATTACAATGGCACCGAAAAAAAGTGACTTAAAGCACTATCTTTTAGGCTTATACACTGCTACATAGTGCTTTCCAGCCCTCTCTAAGCGGTTTACAGAATCAGCCGATTGTCCCCAACAATCTGGGTCCTCATTTTACCCACCTCGGAAGGACAAGTCAACCTTGAGCCGGTCAGGATCGAACTCCAGACAGTGGGCAGAGTCAGCCTGCAATACCGCATTCTAATCACTACACCACTACAACCTATGACCGTTTTTCACACTTATGACCACTGCAGCAGCCTCATGGTCACTTTCGCTATCCTTTTATTTCCTTTTGTAGAGTTGTAATTGCAGGAATGTTCCAATCTATTACAACACCTTTTATTTCCTTGCTCTTATTGCTTGTGGAAATATGGCTGGGAATAACAGAAGTTTGTCTTCTAAGACAAAAAAATAAAACAGACTTATTAAACTGACTCATGGGAAACAATTACCTATTGTATTTTTTTTCCTTGAAATGGTAACTTTGTAAGAAGTTTTGATAATTTGTAAAGGCAAACAGTATTCAGTTCTCCCATTTCAATTAATACAGTTTCAAGACAGCACTACTATAGTGAGTGAGAGAATACGGATAAGTTAAGGCAGCCTTCAAATGAGCTGGATTACAGTCACCATCACCAGTAGATGTATTTTTATTGTGGAAAATGATGAGAGGTACAATCTGAACAGGTTTGGCTGACACTAACCCACATGCTGGCTGGGGAATTCCGGAAGCTGAAGTCCACAAGTCTTAAAGATGCCAAGGTTGGATACCCCTGCACTAAGGTTTAACAAAAAGGTTACTAAGTACAGGTTATCCTTGCCTTGTGCCCGTTTGTTCAGAAGCTATTCGAAGTTATAGCGGTGCTGAATGGACTTACGAACGTTCATGGCCAGAGCAGTGTCTCTGCGGTCATGTGGTCAAAATTCAGGCACCTAGTAGCCTGTCCATGACTAAACTGCAAAGGGCGACTTTATCTGCTACACTCATCTCTCTCTTTCCCACATTTATATATTTTGACCCATACCCTGCACTTCCTGCCCTAACTGTTCTTTGACATTTTTTTTTTGTCCACACTGTTGACCAGCTATGCCAGTCAGGCCTTACTCAAACAGCTGTTGGCTTCACTGAGCTTTCTTTCCTCTCGGGTTGTATATGATTTCCTTGTGAGACCTGAGGGAAGATGGCCTCACATGGTCAGCAGCTGCCTCAGCAAGGACCA